GGGCCGCTGCCGCCGCCTGAGCCGCCATTTTGGCCTCCACAACAACAAGCCGTCACCACAGGGAGGCGGAAGCAGGCGAACGGGGCGGGGCCCGGCACTCTTCGCGTCCCTCGCGATAGCTGCCGCACAAAGCATCCTGGAACATGTAGTTTATAATTTGGAGTGGCTGCGACTCCCGGAAAGTGTGAAAAAAGACGACGCCTTCTGGTCTGTGGGACTGAGACCAGACCTTGCAGAGAGGCCGAGGTTTTCGCTCCTGCGAGAAAGGTCCCAGGTGTCCCCGCAGTGGCAGGGCGTGGCTGGCCAATGAGGACTACATCTCCCATTAGGCCATGCGCACTATAACATGCCTCCTCAGGTGGCGCCGGAGCATTGTGGGATTGGATGAGTCTCAAGATGGACAACCGGGATGTTGCAGGTAACAGCCCCCTCCTCCTTTCATGCTCCCGTCTGCGTCCTCCGAGCTTCGCGTCTCCGCTTCGTCCTCTGACCGAGTCTGCCCCAACCCGCCGGTCCTCCCCCTCAGCCTCTGGGCGGCCCGAAGCGACGGGTTCTGCACCTCCCCCGCCTGACGAGGTCTCAGACCCAGTTGCTGTCCCCCACCCTGGGCCTGGTTTGCTGAGGGCGCTTGGCTTCCGTAAAGGCAGACACCGGGTCTGTCTTGCGTCGGCTTTCCGAAAAATAACCACCTTCAGGGCTCTTCCGAGCTCCGCTCCCCAAAACAGCGGCAACCTTGGGCTGTCCTGCGCTTCTCTTCGCAGCAGCTGCCTCTTGGCCTGTGTGCTGCTTTCTGGAAAAGCTGTTTTTCTGAACTGCTCTCAGACATGTCCTGGATACATAAATTCCCGAGTCTTTCGAGCCTCCACTTGACTACAAGCCTTGCCCTTCCATCTCCTCCAGCCCTAGCCACCCAGAATGGATACACTCACCCACCCATTCAGCAAATACTGTGTGCCAGGCACTGTGCTGGTCGCTGGGGGTGCAGTGGTAATCAAAACAGGGCCCTGCCTTCCTGAAGATCACTTTCTAATGGGTGTCAGACGATGCACCAAGAGGAACTATTTATGCAAAGAGAGTTATGAGTGGGGCTGGAGGCTGGTGATATTGGGTGACCAAAGAAAGCCTTATTGAGTAGAAGACATTTGAGATGAGAAGGAGGCCTGGGGGGGCAGAGCCTTCCACACCAAGGGGGGTGGAGGTGGGGTGGCAAGTGCAAAGGCCTTGGAGGGACTGACTTGCCATTTTGAAGAAAGTCAAGGATGGGGAAGGGGGGCGCCATCTCTGGCAGGGCCTTGAAAATTGACTTTCAGAATTTGGATTTTATTCTGAATCCCATGGGGAAATTTAGAGGTGTCTTCTCCATCTCCACAGCCAATGCCCATGTCTGAAGACAACATCATCTTTTGCTTGGAGCCAGAAAGCCTCATTGGTCTGTTTGCTGCCTATGCACTCTCTCCAAGTAGTAGCCAGAATGATTTTAAAAATAAAAATACCTATTGGATATTGTCAGCTTAATACTCCCTGACACTTTCCAAAGACCTTAAAGTAAAATCTAGACTCCCTTTCTTATACTCTCATTCCTGGAACAACTTGCTCAAGCCACATTGGACCCTTGCTGGTCCTTGAATGCGCCAAGCTTTATCCAACTTTTAGTTTTTGCATCTGCACCTTACTCTGCCCAGATTGTTCCTTATGTGGCTTTTTAGGAAGCTCTTTATGGTTTCAGCTTAACTGCTTCCTCTTCAAATGGTTATTTTCTGGCTGCTCTAGCAATAGATGCTCCTCTGTCATGCCTTCTCATCCTTTTTGGTTCCCAGCATAGAGCTTTTATCATGATTTTGCAGCTACTTTTTTTGTTACAAGTTTAATGTCTCCCTAGCCAGACCTGAGTTCCACATAGGCAGAGGCCTTGTCTCTCTTGTTTAGCACTTAGCACAGCACCTGGTATATAGCTCGGTAAATGTTTGCTGAATAAATGAACGAGTGGATATGTACGAATGTCAATTTGAATGTCCGTTGCTATAAGCAGCAGCAACTGCGGCGCTCCTGTAGCAGCTGCCGGGCATGTGTGTGATGCAAAGATGATTTCTGATGTGTTTCTCTTCCCTCCCCAGGAAAGGCTAACCGGTGGTTTGGGGTTGCTCCTCCCAAGTCTGGAAAAATGAACATGAACATCCTTCATCAGGAAGAACTCATTGCTCAGAAGAAACGGGAAATTGAAGCCAGAATGGAGCAGAAAGCCAAGCAGAATCAGGTGTCCAGCCCTCAGCCCCCGCATCCTGGCGAGTAAGTGCACTCTGAGGCTGGACTGGGTCTTAGAGGGTCACGGGCAGAGGGTTTTGTTTATAAGAGCAGTCGTGTTATATCTGCACCCGGTCACAGCCTGATGGTTGAAGGAGTGACACAACTGCTCTCTTTCAGGCGGCTTAGTATGTTAGGAGAGACACAAGGGGTGTGTGGAAACCCAGTGGATGGCCTGCCAGTTCTTTCACTCAGCAGTTATTTACTGCTGACGACCTGTGGGCCAGGGGTCAGAGGTATAGCACAGAGCAAAAAACCCAGACTTCGTCTCTGCTCTTATGGGGCTCACATCAGGTGGGTGGGTGTATGGTATAGGTAGCTATGCAAATAAAAGCATAAAGCACCAACATTTAAAATTTCTTGATGAAGGAATAAGAAATACTCAAATTGCCTCAAGACAACCATTTTGATAATAATTCCTTTCCCACATCTTTGCTTTGTTTTACGAAGTTGTGATCAATTTTGTGTGCTGCTTTTCCAGCACTTTTTTTTTTTAATCCTCACCTGAGGATACCAGAGTTGCCAGTGGGTAACAGGAGGCAGTGTGTTCCCACTGTAGGAGTGCAGAAGAGACTTCGCATTCTTTATATATATATGTGTGTGTGTGTGTGTATATATATATATATATGTATATGTATATGTATATATATATATTTGTTGATTTTTATAGAGAGAGGAAGGGAGAAGGATAGAGAGAGAGAAACATCGATGAGAGAGAAACATTGAACATTGATCGCCTGCCCCTGCACGCCCCCTATTGGGGTTTGAGTCCACAACCTGGGCATGTGCCCTGACTGGGAATTGAACCAGTGAACCACATCAGCTGGGCAAGACTTTGTGTTCTAAAGACCCCGGCAGAGCCAGCCCATTGAGGAAGTAGGGAAAGGCCTGTAGGCAGAAGGCAAGAAGAGGAGAGAGCCTCCCATGTGTCAGGCAGGAGATAGCTCAGGCCGGTTGTCTTCTGCCTGCCCTGAGAAACACTGTGGGCACCCAAGAGTTTTGAGCAGGGGTGTGTGATCAGGGTGACAAGATCCAAAAATTTCAGTTAAGAGGTTGACAGTCAGAGGCAGCCCCCTTCCTACGTGGTCTGAAGTGTGAACCTGTTAACCCTCCACAAAGTTTTGTCCCAGCTCCCACCTTTTCTAAGAGTCTGTGGCTTCTCCTTAAGGGTAGGATTTAGACCTTATTCCTGTGGGAACCCAGGGTCTGGCACCTCCAGGGCACCCAGGAACATGGGGACTGGATGTTGAGAGATCTGTCAGTGGGTGGGTTCTCACCCTGGAGTTTATGGAAGGACTTTTACCAAGATGGGAAAGCCCTTGTTGTATCACATCCAAGAGGGTCTTCTGGAGGTTGTTGGATCACAGCTCCAGGATCAGGCAGCTGAAAGGAAACATCAGGTGGGTGGGTGTACGGTACAGGTAGCTATGCAAATAAAAGCATAGAACACCAACATTTAAATTTCTTGCTGAAGAAATAAGAAATACTCAAATTGCCTCAAGACAACCATTTTGATAATATTTCCCACATCTTTGCTTTGTTTTATGAAGTTGTGATCAAATTTGTGTGCTGCTTTCCCTGCCTCACTATTTAAAAAAAAAAAATTTATTGATTAACTTGAGAAAGAGAGGAAGGGTGAGAGAGAAACATCGATTTGTTGTTCTACTTATTTATACATTCATTACTTGATTCTTGTATGTGCCCTGACCAGGGATTGAGCTACCTGGCCAGGCCTCCCCGGCACTTTCTTTTAAATCCTCACCTGAGGATATATTTTTATTGATTTGAGAAAGAGAGGAGAGAGAGAAACCCATATCGATCGTTCGCCTCCCATACTCACCACTACCGTGTCAGCCCGGCAACCTAACTATGTGCCCTGACTGGAAATCAAACCTGAAACCTTATGGTGTATGGGACGGTGTTCTAACCAACAGGGCCACCCAGCCAGGGACACACCCTTCCCCCCCCCACACACTTTTTAAAAGAAAAACTTTTCCCCAAATCACAACTCTTTAGAACCATCAGTCTTTAAGTTTTATTCTTACTGAGATATAATTTACATGCTGTAACATTGAACTTTTAAACTGTATGATTTAGTGATTTTTAGTATATTCACAGCACTGTGCAACTATCACCATTATCTAATTACAAAACATTTTATCATTCAGAAAGAAACCTCATACCCGGTAGCCATCACTCCCCATTCTTCCTTCCCAAACCCCTGACAACCACTAATCTAGTTTCTGTCTTCATGGATATACATATTCTAGATATTTTATATGATAGGTGAACTTTTGTGTCTGGTTTCTCTTACTAGACGTAATGCTTTCAGGGTTCACCACTTTGTAGTGTGTGTGTGAGGGCTTCATTACTTTTTTGTTGTTGTTACTGTTAATCCTCACCCAAGGATATTTTTTCTATTGATCTTTAGAGAAAGTGGAAGGGAGGGAGGGAAAGAAGGGGTAGAGAGAGAGAAAAACATTGATTGGCTGCCTCCTGCACATGCCCAATTGGGACAGGATGGAACCTGCAACCCAGGTACATGCTCTTGACGGGGAAGGAAACTTGTGACTCTTCAGTTCATGGGCCAACACTGTAACCACTGAGCCATGCCGGCCAGGGCCCATAATTTATTTAACCAGTGTCCCTTGTTGACTACTTAGGTTATTTCCATTTTTAGTTCATTAAAACCAATTTCTAGTAACACTTAATTTTAAATGAAAAAGTCTAGATCTGTGGGTTCTCTGAGCTTTTACTAATTATTGGTGTATCTGTATGATGGATTGTTACTTGGCTTTTAGAAGCACTATATATGAAGAATTTTTGAGGTTGGTACAGGATGTATGTTACAATAGAGAATGGAAGAAGGAGGGCACGTTCTATGATCACAGCCTTATTTCCTTCTATTTCTAACTTAGGGGCAAATAAAAAATATATACCAAAGTGTTAATAGTAGCTATTGTGAAGTGGAAGAAATTGAGTTTTCCTCTTTGCTTTATATACTTTAATTTTTCTACATTCTTGTTTGTTTATAATGAACTCTAATACTTTTATGATAGGGAAAAATGAATTTGAATTAAGCATTCAGGACCCTGGTTTTGCTTTTGTACTGATTTTTATATATATTTAAAAATTTGTTTTTATTTATTTTTCTAGAGAGAGAGGAAGGGAGAGGGAGAGAGAGTCAGAAACATGGATGAAAGAGAAACATCAGCATTAATTGGCTGCCTCCTGCATGCCCCCTGCTGGGGATCGAGCCAGCGACCCAGGCATGTGCCCTGACCCTGAATTGAACTGGCGACCTCTTGGAGCATGGTCCAGTGCTCAACCACTGATCAACACTGGCTGGGCTTGTGCTAATTTTTTAAAAACAGATTTAAGCCCGGCCAGTGTGGCTCAGCAGTTGAGCATCGACCCAGGAACCAAGAAGTTGCCAGTTTGATTGTGAATCTCCAGTTTGATTGTGAATCTCCAGTTTGATTGTGAATCTCCGGTTCAATTCTCAATCAGGGCACATGCCCGGGTTGCTCAATCCCCGGTGGGTGACCTACAGGAGGCAGCCAATTGATGTTTCTCTCACATTGATGTTTCTATTTCTCTATCCCTCTTACTTCCTCTCTCTCTAGAAATCATTTAAAACAGATTTTTTTAAAAATAAAAGATTAAAAAAATTTTTTTTAAGTAAAACATACTATTTGCAAAAAAGGAGAGAAAATAAAAATATATAATCCCCCTGTAATTCTCGCACCAAGAGATTGCTTTGGGTGTTTTCCTGTATGTGTGTAATCCTCACAGAAGTGCTGGCCGATCCAGGCCCAGAAATGCAGTCACACACAGTAAAAACACATACACATGCACTGTTTTGGATAATTCTAAAGTCTAGCTGAGAAGACAGACATGGTACCCAGTAGCAGCTCAAATAATTTGTTTACACCAGGTAGGATAGGAGTTGGTGCGGGAAGAGAGCCAGTGGTTCTGAGTTGAGGAGGCTATTTGGAGTGGGAGGGTCAATAGTCCGATAGAGTTGACATCAATATGTGTAGCATTGCTTTGACTAAAACAAGATTGTTCCCACCTTACAACTCTGAAGGTAGCTCTCTGCACTCAGCAGTCCCCAAGACACATCTGGGGGTGGGTTTTGGGTTTCACCAGGTAAGAACTTGGGTGGGTGTGGAGCCGAGACAGGCAAGGCATGCCCCAGCCCCTCCATTAGAAGTTCACCCTCTCTATATTCTGTCTTGGGTCTAGAATTGCAAACACACACAACTCTTCCGCTTCCAACAAGTTTGCCAATGACGGCAGCTTCTTGCAGCAGTTTCTGAAGTTGCAGAAGGCGCAGACTAGCACAGGTAAGTGCAGTTTCCCCATCCCATCTCCTCCTATTCAGGCTCAGGCTCATGTTCATGCTGCCTGCTCTCTCCTCCCGGGGATCCCTGGCTTCCTAGAAATGGCAGGTCCTGCCTCAGATTTGTTCTTCTCATCCCGAGTTTATTGAGCTCCCTCATTTCACTCATTTCCACACTAAACACCCAGGGAGAAAGCATGGAACCTGCTCTCAAGATGCTTACCTTGTAGGAGCAGAGACAACCCAGGTTTCAGTCCAGGAGCACGGGGACCAGGACTAAGCAGGCCCAGGGCTGTGAGACCATGGCTGTGGTCAGAGCAGCAGCTCAAGTGTGAGGAATGGGGCCCCCTTTCATAGGAATCCATGAGACATGCCAGGTGTGAGCCCTAGGGGAGCCCACCCATAACTGTGGTTGTGCAATTTACCAGTCAGAGCTTATTTTTACTTTAAAAAACTTAATGGTTAAAAAAAAAATAATAAAAGGAAGTTAATGGTGAAACAGATGACCTTTGACCTTTGTCAGGTTTCCTAGGTAACAACTAAAAAAAGTTTAGGCCAAATTCACCCACGGAGAGGAAGAGCAGGCTCCTCTTTATCGCAGGGTCACGGGTTATGAGCTGTGTTTGAAAAGCCCAGAATAGGCTTGTTCCAGCTTACCACTGACAACCAGAGGGAATGGTTGTAAGTTGGATGTGGGATTCAGGTCATATCTAGATAACCAAAAAGTCATGTATCTGTGAACCTTGATGTCCTCATCTGTAAAATGGGGTGGTGTCTTCTCTGAGCACCCACCACCCACCAGGTGCTGTGCTGGAAGCTGAGGACCCCAGCACCCAGGGACTGACGGCACTCAGATTAGGTGGGAAGATAGGGAAAGGTGCACTGCAGTGTTTGAGCACAAGTATATGTCCTTCTCTCCCAAGATGCTCCCCCCAGCGTGCCCAGCGCCCCACCTCGAGTACTCCCCCGTGCTGGGAAGAGGCCTCCCCTCATCAGCAGCCCACTGAACCAGGTGAAGAACTATGTGCACGCTAAGCAGCTGCCCCTGGCCAGCCGCCCTAGTGTCTTCCAATCTCCCGATGAGGATGAAGAGGAAGACTATGAGCAGTGGCTGGAGATCAAAGGTAAGGTGCGGGGGCTGCTGCCCTCCTTCTACCACCGCCTTCCAGCTCCGGGGCAGATCCACAGTCAGGAGGGAAAGCATGGCCAGGAGTATGGGGTACTTGGGACTTCAGTCAGGTGAGGCCTCTGGGGTGAGGGGGTGCAGTTAAAGGAAGGGTGTGAGGAGGGGCTGCAGTGTGGGCTTCATCCTGGGAGCTGTGGGATCCATCATCTACTCTGGGGCCTGGCCTCCAGCCAAGGCAGGGGTATCCTCATTGAGTGTTCACTTGCACTTTCCTTCCAACATGAGGAGGACCTTCCATGGCTACCCAATCTGGGTGCATGCCCTCCGAGCCCTCTGAGGCCCAGAAGCCCATTTCTTAATGCAGTTCCTGTCCCTGCCAGTCTGAGCCAGAGGTATGAGCCTGCAGGTTGAAGAGTTCGTTTTTTTGCCTGGGGAAGGACAGTTATTGGCCTTGGGTGAGTTAGTCTAGGGCCCAAGGTGTAGGAGGGCAGAGGGTGGCAGTGGTGGCACTTCTAATATTTCTAGCCCTATCTATATTCAGAACAAGGCTTCAGTGCCACCTGAGCCATTTGGAGTCTTAGGCTACTTCTGCCCAGGCTGGCTAGCTGAGTCATGTTATCCTGACTGAGTACAGACTGAAGTGACTGTATGGTCTGCCATAACAGCCTCTAAACTCCTCTGGCTCTGGGATGAGGATGCCAGCTTCAGACCATACATCTGAGCAGATCAGTGGCAAACCTTGAAGTCTGGAACATTAGTACAGAGCCTGAGAGGATGGTGTTTCCTTCGAGAGGTGCCCTGGCAGTTCTGACTGTACCCTGCCATGAACCTCTGCTTTACAAGAGGCAGTGGGTGTCTCAAGGCCCTTGAGGCCTGTTAAGACCTGCTGTTGAGGAGGCCTCAGAAGAGCACCTGTGCTTGTAAATGGCAGCCAGGTCAGGGTCATTGTCAGGTATGCAGGAGGAGGGTGCGATCACATGTTTCTTCCCCTACCCCCAGCTTCTTGGCAGCCCAAGCAACAAGAGGAACAAGATTGGCCACAGGCTCAGTGTCTAGCCCCATTGCCGAAAGGAGCAAAGGTTCCTAGGCACTGACTAACAGCGAGAACTTTCTCTTAGGAGTTCTCATAAAGGGAATAGGAATATATTGGCTGACAGATGCCCTCCAAAAAAGTCCAGCAAAAAAGACAAAAGCAAGTTCCACATGGCTCAAAGGGGAGGCTAATGCAAACACAAAAATGTATTTTTATACCTCTGTTCCCTGAAAAAAGCCGAGGCAATGATTAAGCTCGTTGCAGTGAGTATCCTTAGCACCCAGATGGTGGTCTGGAAACATTTTCTCACTCACGAAAACCAGGACTTCTTGGAAGAATGGCTGGCTCTAGGTCTGGGCAGGAAGTGACCTGGAGCACCCTGTTCCAGCAGATAGTGAGGAGGCCATCAAGACACCGGGGCCATGTCCAAAGGCCTCCGTACCCAGCTTGAAGAGGCTCCACCAGCCACACAGGGGACGAGTGAGCCTCTATGATGACATTAATTGCAGTGGATTGAAACCCACCCAATGTGTTTAAATCAGAGTTTGTAATGCTATTTTAAAAGAATTTTTCATCTTTGAAGGATGGAAGGGGACCAATTTATTATACTTAATGCTGGTAAATAAAGAAAAGACTTAAGCATTTAAAAAAAGGTCGGGGGGTGGGGGAGGCTGGCTATGTTTTCAAACGTCTCCCTTCCAGCCTGTGGATCGGCTCAGCCTCTGAGAGGGTCACACACTTCTCTCCCACCCAGTGTGTCTCGTGAAAACTGTTTAGACCAACTCCCCTCTTGTCACGGTGCTTTGTGCATGGACCCGGGACGCCTGACAACCTCCTGCATTTCACCCTCTTCTTCCCCTACCCCTTTGTCCTTGTGGTCCGTAGAGAGAGTGTGCCTGTTGACTGTGGGGTGTGTGAGTTGAACCCCAGTACTGACAGCCTCCTTAAAGTTTCACCCCCAGAGGGAGTCGAGACTCGGAAAGTGATAGAGAAATTGGCCCGCTTTGTGGCAGAAGGAGGCCCCGAGTTAGAAAAAGTAGCTATGGAGAACTACAAGGATAACCCAGCGTTTTCGTAAGTATTTTTGGGAGGGGAAGGTCACTGGTACTTAATGTTCTTGCCACACAGTAGTATATGCAGACATTTTTGTAAAATTCTTGTGGTGACTGAGGCTGGCTGGGGCTGGGTGCTTGCTTGTGTGGGCCAGATGCTGTTCCAAGCACTTTATAACTTACACCAAAGGTTGCAAAAAGTCTCCAATGTGATGCGGAGACTTAATTTTGGGCTCTGTCAAGGCATCTGTGCTTGTCAGCTTGCTTTTGCATAACTTGTCTTCAGATGCTGCACAAGTCTACCCGTCCTCGTTACTCATCTTCCTTTCTGTTTTGCAAAAACACTTCTTCAGGTTTCTGCATGATAAGAATAGCAGGGAATTCCTCTACTACAGAAAGAAGGTGGCTGAGATAAGGAAGGAATCACAGAAGTTGCAGACAACCTCTCAGAAAGGTAGGTGGGTAGAAGGGGGTGGGAGGTTCTGGGGAGGTGCGTGAACAAATTGCTCCCCAGGTGAAATCAGGGTTCCTAGAGGGTGCCATGGCATGGGGTAGCGCTGATGTCCTTGGTTTGTGCCCTCCCTGGCAGCCAGGGTCAAGCTAGGGCTAGTGCCACCCTTTTCACCAGTGCTCTGAGGAGGGGGGGAGGTCTGAGGACCAAGGTCAAGGTTGTATTCAGGAGCTCAGCCCTGTACATGCAAAAGAGACAGAGGGAAAGTGTGCTAGCCCAGCGGTCGTCAACCGGTGGTCCATGGACCACTGGTGGTCTGTGCTAGCCTATTGGTTCATGGTCATTTTAACAAGTGTTAACGAATGCCTACCAACCCTAGAAACAAATGTAGTGTCTGCCACTTAGGAGTGGGGCCGAGGGGGCAGAAACAATCAGCTGGTGAGATCTGATGGGATGAGTGTCAGTGGATGGGGAAGAGGCTGGATGGTCTCCAGCTTTAATGAGTATCCCAGCTAGTGCTGGTGGTGAGAGGAATTGATGTTTAGACCTGACATGGGCCACAGAGGTCGGTCTGTCGTGTCTCCTGCGGCCTTTTGCCTTTGCACTGACCTCCCCAGGAGGAGGGCCACGCTCATCTCCCCATGTGACCTGGCTGGGCAGCCCCCTATAGAAAGACCAAGGTGGAGGCTCCTGTCTTCCCTCTGGGCCTGACACACACCTTCCCTTATATTATGCTGCCATGTCCCAGGCCCCCCAAGACCTATGGGTGGGAAGGGGTAGGGAGCAGGGCTCAGAATAAGTTGTAGTATTAACTGTTTGGTCTCAGTGTAATAATCTGATTCCCATTTGCCTGTTTCTCTTTGCATTGTTTCTAAAATAAACCCCTCTTGTTGCCCATGGGGTTTTTAGCAGAAATTAGGCTGTTGGGTGTGGTGAGTTGAGCTCAGTACTGACAGCCTGCTTAAAGTTTCACCCCCAGAGGACGAAGAGGTCAAGAACCTTGCAGAAAAGTTGGCCAGGTTCATAGCGGATGGGGGTCCTGAGGTGGAAACCATCGCCCTCCAAAACAATCGTGAGAACCAGGCATTCAGGTAAGGAGGGACCCACCAGAGAGTTGACCCCTCAGCCTGGTCACAGGCTTGGTGGTCCTAAGACAGGCCAGAGTCCGTGGCGAGAAGCTGGCAGGGCCGGGACTCAGCTCTAGAAATTTCTGGCCCCAGAGCCCAGCCTTGCCTCCCTGTATCTACTCCCCAAGTGCACATCACTGCCTGGAGTTGTCTCTGAGGCAGGTGTGGCAGGGACTTTGAGCCCTTGTGTTTTTCCAGGTGCCTCATTGAGAAAGTCTCTAGCACTTGCCCGGCTCCCTTTGTAACAGAGACAGTGGCCACAAGGTGGGGGCCAGGCCAGGCCCTCTAGCAGAACCTCACAAAACTGTGTTGCTCATTGTGTGTATTCTTAGGGTCTCATCTTTACAATGAGGGGAACAGCAAGAAAGCAGGAGTGTGGTACCTCAGGCTCTGAGGAGTGGGAGTCCCTAGCCTGTGTGCAGGTTCCATGGACAGGATGGGACAAGCATCCTGACCCCCCTACTGTCCCCAGCCATGAAGTCACACCCCAGCCCTTCAGGCTAGGTCTGTTAACCCACTCACTCATTCATTGGTGGGATTTAGCACCTCATCTTTGCCAGGGGAGTTGGGGGCGGGGGCGCAGTTGCTGTTGCAGGGTGGTACTGGCAGAGGCTGGTGAGGTGGACACTGAATCCAGCATGGGGTGATGCATCTGTGAGGACACTTTTGGCCACAAGTCCCCACCCAGTCAAGTGAGGAGATGTGATGGCGACTATAACAAAAAGTGCAGGAGCAGCAGGCACCTGGGCTGGTTGATTCAGAGACACCATCAGGCACTGAGGAGGAAGGAAGCAAGAGTGGGTGGTAGGCAGGAGGAGGGTGTCCAGAAGGACCACTCCACGGGAGTGAAGCAGTTGATATGCCGGGCACTGTGCCAGTGCGGCTAGAGTGCAGGGTGAGCGTTGACATTCCGTGCAGACAAGCTGTGGAGCCCGTCAGGGCCAGGTCCCAGGAGGCTCAGGTGTTCATTGAGAGTCTTTGGAGGGTCTGCATAGGGAGTGATGGGGCTAACTGTGCTTCCAGGATCACTGACCACAATCATAGAGGGTGATCAATCATTCCAGGCTGAGGGTTGAGGCAGAGAAGGTTTGCGGAGGGCTGCTGAGGGGTGGAGGATAGCTGTGGGGGAGTGCCTAGGATAAGAATGGACCCTGGGGAGAAGTGGCTGAAGGTGAGCTGCTGAGGGACCACAGCTGGCACTCCACGCACTGGAGAGGAATGAATGGGACATGATTGGGTATTCGGGCCTGATCAGGGTGTACAGGTTCATTCCACACCGACTGTTTGATCTTCATGTGGGGTTAGGTGTGAGACAGCTCTTCTCTCCCCCAAATCAAACAGCCTCCTAGTGTACTTGCTGCTCTGGCCCTTCTGTGCCTTCCTGATTCCCCCCATGGGCCGGGCACACCCCAGCAGTTGTGTGTCTTGGAAAACAATGTTATAACTGTTTACCTATTCACCCACGGAGAGGAAGAGCAGGCTCCTCTTTATCGCAGGGTCACGGGTTATGAGCTGTGTTTGAAAAGCCCAGAATAGGCTTGTTCCAGCTTACCACTGACAACCAGAGGGAATGGTTGTAAGTTGGATGTGGGATTCAGGTCATATCTAGATAACCAAAAAGTCATGTATCTGTGAACCTTGATGTCCTCATCTGTAAAATGGGGTGGTGTCTTCTCTGAGCACCCACCACCCACCAGGTGCTGTGCTGGAAGCTGAGGACCCCAGCACCCAGGGACTGACGGCACTCAGATTAGGTGGGAAGATAGGGAAAGGTGCACTGCAGTGTTTGAGCACAAGTATATGTCCTTCTCTCCCAAGATGCTCCCCCCAGCGTGCCCAGCGCCCCACCTCGAGTACTCCCCCGTGCTGGGAAGAGGCCTCCCCTCATCAGCAGCCCACTGAACCAGGTGAAGAACTATGTGCACGCTAAGCAGCTGCCCCTGGCCAGCCGCCCTAGTGTCTTCCAATCTCCCGATGAGGATGAAGAGGAAGACTATGAGCAGTGGCTGGAGATCAAAGGTAAGGTGCAGAGGCTGCTGCCCTCCTTCTACCACCGCCTTCCAGCTCCGGGGCAGATCCACAGTCAGCAGGGAAAGCATGGCCAGGAGTATGGGGTACTTGGGACTTCAGTCAGGTGAGGCCTCTGGGGTGAGGGGGTGCAGTTAAAGGAAGGGTGTGAGGAGGGGCTGCAGTGTGGGCTTCATCCTGGGAGCTGTGGGATCCATCATCTACTCTGGGGCCTGGCCTCCAGCCAAGGCAGGGGTATCCTCATTGAGTGTTCACTTGCACTTTCCTTCCAACATGAGGAGGACCTTCCATGGCTACCCAATCTGGGTGCATGCCCTCCGAGCCCTCTGAGGCCCAGAAGCCCATTTCTTAATGCAGTTCCTGTCCCTGCCAGTCTGAGCCAGAGGTATGAGCCTGCAGGTTGAAGAGTTCGTTTTTTTGCCTGGGGAAGGACAGTTATTGGCCTTGGGTGAGTTAGTCTAGGGCCCAAGGTGTAGGAGGGCAGAGGGTGGCAGTGGTGGCACTTCTAATATTTCTAGCCCTATCTATATTCAGAACAAGGCTTCAGTGCCACCTGAGCCATTTGGAGTCTAAGGCTACTTCTGCCCAGGCTGGCTGGCTGAGTCATGTTATCCTGACTGAGTACAGACTGAAGTGACTGTATGGTCTGCCATAACAGCCTCTAAACTCCTCTGGCTCTGGGATGAGGATGCCAGCTTCAGACCATACATCTGAGCAGATCAGTGGCAAACCTTGAAGTCTGGAACATTAGTACAGAGCCTGAGAGGATGGTGTTTCCTTCGAGAGGTGCCCTGGCAGTTCTGACTGTACCCTGCCATGAACCTCTGCTTTACAAGAGGCAGTGGGTGTCTCAAGGCCCTTGAGGCCTGTTAAGACCTGCTGTTGAGGAGGCCTCAGAAGAGCACCTGTGCTTGTAAATGGCAGCCAGGTCAGGGTCATTGTCAGGTATGCAGGAGGAGGGTGCGATCACATGTTTCTTCCCCTACCCCCAGCTTCTTGGCAGCCCAAGCAACAAGAGGAACAAGATTGGCCACAGGCTCAGTGTCTAGCCCCATTGCCGAAAGGAGCAAAGGTTCCTAGGCACTGACTGACAGCGAGAACTTTCTCTTAGGAGTTCTCATAAAGGGAATAGGAATATATTGGCTGACAGATGCCCTCCAAAAAAGTCCAGCAAAAAAGACAAAAGCAAGTTCCACATGGCTCAAAGGGGAGGCTAATGCAAACACAAAAATGTATTTTTATACCTCTGTTCCCTGAAAAAAGCCGAGGCAATGATTAAGCTCGTTGCAGTGAGTATCCTTAGCACCCAGATGGTGGTCTGGAAACATTTTCTCACTCACGAAAACCAGGACTTCTTGGAAGAATGGCTGGCTCTAGGTCTGGGCAGGAAGTGACCTGGAGCACCCTGTTCCAGCAGATAGTGAGGAGGCCATCAAGACACCAGGGGGCCATGTCCAAAGGCCTCAGTACCCAGCTTGAAGAGGCTCCACCAGCCACACAGGGGACGAGTGAGCCTCTATGATGACATTAATTGCAGTGGATTGAAACCCACCCAATGTGTTTAAATCAGAGTTTGTAATGCTATTTTAAAAGAATTTTTCATCTTTGAAGGATGGAAGGGGACCAATTTATTATACTTAATGCTGGTAAATAAAGAAAAGACTTAAGCATTTAAAAAAAGGTCGGGGGGTGGGGGAGGCTGGCTATGTTTTCAAACGTCTCCCTTCCAGCCTGTGGATCGGCTCAGCCTCTGAGAGGGTCACACACTTCTCTCCCACCCAGTGTGTCTTGTGAAAACTGTTTAGACCAACTCCCCTCTTGTCACGGTGCTTTGTGCATGGACCCGGGACGCCTGACAACCTCCTGCATTTCACCCTCTTCTTCCCCTACCCCTTTGTCCTTGTGGTCCGTAGAGAGAGTGTGCCTGTTGACTGTGGGGTGTGTGAGTTGAACCCCAGTACTGACAGCCTCCTTAAAGTTTCACCCCCAGAGGGAGTCGAGACTCGGAAAGTGATAGAGAAATTGGCCCGCTTTGTGGCAGAAGGAGGCCCCGAGTTAGAAAAAGTAGCTATGGAGAACTACAAGGATAACCCAGCGTTTTCGTAAGTATTTTTGGGAGGGGAAGGTCACTGGTACTTAATGTTCTTGCCACACAGTAGTATATGCAGACATTTTTGTAAAATTCTTGTGGTGACTGAGGCTGGCTGGGGCTGGGTGCTTGCTTGTGTGGGCCAGATGCTGTTCCAAGCACTTTATAACTTACACCAAAGGTTGCAAAAAGTCTCCAATGTGATGCGGAGACTTAATTTTGGGCTCTGTCAAGGCATCTGTGCTTGTCAGCTTGCTTTTGCATAACTTGTCTTCAGATGCTGCACAAGTCTACCCGTCCTCGTTACTCATCTTCCTTTCTGTTTTGCAAAAACACTTCTTCAGGTTTCTGCATGATAAGAATAGCAGGGAATTCCTCTACTACAGAAAGAAGGTGGCTGAGATAAGGAAGGAATCACAGAAGTTGCAGACAACCTCTCAGAAAGGTAGGTGGGTAGAAGGGGGTGGGAGGTTCTGGGGAGGTGCGTGAACAAATTGCTCCCCAGGTGAAATCAGGGTTCCTAGAGGGTGCCATGGCATGGGGTAGCGCTGATGTCCTTGGTTTGTGCCCTCCCTGGCAGCCAGGGTCAAGCTAGGGCTAGTGCCACCCTTTTCACCAGTGCTCTGAGGAGGGGGGGAGGTCTGAGGACCAAGGTCAAGGTTGTATTCAGGAGCTCAGCCCTGTACATGCAAAAGAGACAGAGGGAAAGTGTGCTAGCCCAGCGGTCGTCAACCGGTGGTCCATGGACCACTGGTGGTCTGTGCTAGCCTATTGGTTCATGGTCATTTTAACAAGTGTTAACGAATGCCTACCAACCCTAGAAACAAATGTAGTGTCTGCCACTTAGGAGTGGGGCCGAGGGGGCAGAAACAATCAGCTGGTGAGATCTGATGGGATGAGTGTCAGTGGATGGGGAAGAGGCTGGATGGTCTCCAGCTTTAATGAGTATCCCAGCTAGTGCTGGTGGTGAGAGGAATTGATGTTTAGACCTGACATGGGCCACAGAGGTCGGTCTGTCGTGTCTCCTGCGGCCTTTTGCCTTTGCACTGACCTCCCCAGGAGGAGGGCCACGCTCATCTCCCCATGTGACCTGGCTGGGCAGCCCCCTATAGAAAGACCAAGGTGGAGGCTCCTGTCTTCCCTCTGGGCCTGACACACACCTTCCCTTATATTATGCTGCCATGTCCCAGGCCCCCCAAGACCTATGGGTGGGAAGGGGTAGGGAGCAGGGCTCAGAATAAGTTGTAGTATTAACTGTTTGGTCTCAGTGTAATAATCTGATTCCCATTTGCCTGTTTCTCTTTGCATTGTTTCTAAAATAAACCCCTCTTGTTGCCCATGGGGTTTTTAGCAGAAATTAGGCTGTTGGGTGTGGTGAGTTGAGCTCAGTACTGACAGCCTGCTTAAAGTTTCACCCCCAGAGGACGAAGAGGTCAAGAACCTTGCAGAAAAGTTGGCCAGGTTCATAGCGGATGGGGGTCCTGAGGTGGAAACCATCGCCCTCCAAAACAATCGTGAGAACCAGGCATTCAGGTAAGGAGGGACCCACCAGAGAGTTGACCCCTCAGCCTGGTCACAGGCTTGGTGGTCCTAAGACAGGCCAGAGTCCGTGGCGAGAAGCTGGCAGGGCCGGGACTCAGCTCTAGAAATTTCTGGCCCCAGAGCCCAGCCTTGCCTCCCTGTATCTACTCCCCAAGTGCACATCACTGCCTGGAGTTGTCTCTGAGGCAGGTGTGGCAGGGACTTTGAGCCCTTGTGTTTTTCCAGGTGCCTCATTGAGAAAGTCTCTAGCACTTGCCCGGCTCCCTTTGTAACAGAGACAGTGGCCACAAGGTGGGGGCCAGGCCAGGCCCTCTAGCAGAACCTCACAAAACTGTGTTGCTCATTGTGTGTATTCTTAGGGTCTCATCTTTACAATGAGGGGAACAGCAAGAAAGCAGGAGTGTGGTACCTCAGGCTCTGAGGAGTGGGAGTCCCTAGCCTGTGTGCAGGTTCCATGGACAGGATGGGACAAGCATCCTGACCCCCCTACTGTCCCCAGCCATGAAGTCACACCCCAGCCCTTCAGGCTAGGTCTGTTAACCCACTCACTCATTCATTGGTGGGATTTAGCACCTCATCTTTGCCAGGGGAGTTGGGGGCGGGGGCGCAGTTGCTGTTGCAGGGTGGTACTGGCAGAGGCTGGTGAGGTGGACACTGAATCCAGCATGGGGTGATGCATCTGTGAGGACACTTTTGGCCACAAGTCCCCACCCAGTCAAGTGAGGAGATGTGATGGCGACTATAACAAAAAGTGCAGGAGCAGCAGGCACCTGGGCTGGTTGATTCAGAGACACCATCAGGCACTGAGGAGGAAGGAAGCAAGAGTGGGTGGTAGGCAGGAGGAGGGTGTCCAGAAGGACCACTCCACGGGAGTGAAGCAGTTGATATGCCGGGCACTGTGCCAGTGCGGCTAGAGTGCAGGGTGAGCGTTGACATTCCGTGCAGACAAGCTGTGGAGCCCGTCAGGGCCAGGTCCCAGGAGGCTCAGGTGTTCATTGAGAGTCTTTGGAGGGTCTGCATAGGGAGTGATGGGGCTAACTGTGCTTCCAGGATCACTGACCACAATCATAGAGGGTGATCAATCATTCCAGGCTGAGGGTTGAGGCAGAGAAGGTTTGCGGAGGGCTGCTGAGGGGTGGAGGATAGCTGTGGGGGAGTGCCTAGGATAAGAATGGACCCTGGGGAGAAGTGGCTGAAGGTGAGCTGCTGAGGGACCACAGCTGGCACTCCACGCACTGGAGAGGAATGAATGGGACATGATTGGGTATTCGGGCCTGATCAGGGTGTACAGGTTCATTCCACACCGACTGTTTGATCTTCATGTGGGGTTAGGTGTGAGACAGCTCTTCTCTCCCCCAAATCAAACAGCCTCCTAGTGTACTTGCTGCTCTGGCCCTTCTGTGCCTTCCTGATTCCCCCCATGGGCCGGGCACACCCCAGCAGTTGTGTGTCTTGGAAAACAATGTTATAACTGTTTACCTATTCCTTTGACCAGTCATCCCACTTCTGAAATGCCATCTCCCAAATAATCTTAAATATAGCATCATCCATAGTCATGAGAAATTAATAACACATTGAATGTCCAGTCCCAGTGGGCTAAACTCCTGTAACTGCATCTCTGACACATCACTTGTGTGAGCCACCTTGTTTACAAGTGTGCTGGCCTCTCACAGGTGAGGAAACTGAGGCAAGAAGGCCAATCAGTGGAAGTGCCTTTGCTGCCACATTCCACTGCATTCTAATGAGAAAGCCTTATGTTGTTGAGTTAAAAGGTTTTTTAAAAAAATCAGCATACAGAAATTAGAACCACAGCTCTGTTCAAATAAATCTGCACTGGATTAAAAAAAAAGACTGTATATAAAAAAAGTGTTCGCTTTGGTGAAGGAGGAGGGAGAGAGGATCACTTCTATCAGGAGTGATCTAAAATCGATTATGTTCCAATTATTCATCCTTACTTCCTCCCTAATCCCTGACAACCACTGATCTTTTCACTGATTTGGCAATTTTGCTTTTTCCAGAATGTCATACAATTGGAATCATATAGTATGTAGCTTTTTCAGATTGGCTTCTTTCACTTAGCGATGTGCATTTAAGTTTCCTCCATGTCTTTTCATGGCTTCATAGCTCATTTCTTTGGGTGCACCACAGTTTATCCACTGTCGGGCATCTTGGTTCCTTCCAAGTTTGAGCAATTATGAAGAAAGCTACTATAAACATCTGTGGACAGGTTTTTGTGTGGACAAAGAATCTCATCTCTTTAGGATAAATACTAAGGACTGTGATTGCTGGATAGAATGGTATATTTTGTTATTTTCTGCCAGTCTACGGCTTGTGTTCTCATTTGCTTGACCTTGTCTTTCACAGAGCAGAAGTTTTTAATGTTAATGAAATCCAGCTTATCAGTTTCTTTTTCTTGGATTGTGTCTTTGGTATTGTATCTAAAATGTCATTGCCATACCCAAGGTCATCTAGGTTTTCTTCTATATTATTTTCTAGGAATTTTATATTTTTTGAATTTTACATTTAGGTCTGTGATCCATTTATAATTAATTTTTGAATGAAGGGTGTAAGGTCTAGATTCTTTATTTTTTTTCATGGAATGTCCAGTTCTAGCACTGTTTGTTGAAAAGACTGTCTTTGCTTCATTGTATTGCCTTTGCTCCTTTGTGAAAGGTCATTTTACTATGTTTATGTGGGTCTAATTGTGGGTCCTTTATTTTGTTCTAGTGATCAGTTTGTCCATTCCTTCATCAATACCACACTGCCTTGATTACTGTAGCTTTACAGTAGGCCTTGAACTTAGGTAGTGTCAGTCTTCTAACTTTGTTCTTCAGTATTATGTTGGCTATTCTCGGTCTTTTTTCTCTGAATATAAACTTTAGAGTCACTTTGTCATTATCTACAAAATAACTTTGCTGGGACTTTTATCGGAATGTCATTAAATCTAGAAATCACGTTGGGAAGATTTGACATCTTGACAATACGAAGTCTCCCTATCCATGAACATGGAATATCTTTCCATTTATTTAGTTCTTTGAATTCTTTAATCAGAGTTTTGTAATTATATTCATACAGATCTTTTACATATTTTGTAAGACTTATACCTAAGTATTTCATGTTTTTAAATGATAATGTAAATGGTATTGTGTCTTTAACTTCAAATTTTACTTACGCATTGCTGGCTTATAAGAAAGTGATTGACATCTGCATATTAACATTGTACCCTGCAACCTTGCTATATAATAGCTTATTAGTTCCAGGAGAGAGAGTGAGAGAGCGTGTGTCTATTTTTTTATGTGTTTTTTTTGTTTTTATGTAGACTATCATGTCATTTGCAGACAAAGACTTTATTTTTTCCATCTCAATTAATATACCTATTTCCTTTTCTCATTTTTTACATTTGCTAGGACTTCCAGTATGATTGCCGGAAGCCGGTCCATTCTTGCTGCTTGACACAGTCGCTGCAGGAAAGAAACATCTGCACAGCATATGTTTCAAGGGACCTGGCATATATAGCATATTGTTCTTAATATGTTTGCTCTCCTTAGCGCCATGTGTTTTAACCAAGGTCACCTCTCCGAGAAAGGTTGTTTCCCCAGGTGGGGATTTTTCCCTGAGGTTAGGGAGGGGATACAACCCCTTAATTAAGTGCCAGGCGGGTAGTTAAGCTACATAATCTTTACTCCCTGGAATGGAGATAAGAAACGCCCTAACCTTTGTAATAGAAATTGACAGGATTAAAATCGGCTGGTATAAATATAGATGTAACAAGACAATAAACATCAGATCCTGATCAGATCCTAACCAGAACTTCGCTGGAGATCCCAACCAGAACTTTGGCTGGAGATCCTGGCTAGAGGTCCTGACTAGGCTGCTGATCAACTGAAGGCTGTCTCCGTGTCATTCCTTCTTTGCCGACTCCGTCCACACCTTTGGGGACCCCTGGACCTGCTGGGGTTGGACCCCAACATATGATGCTGTAAAGCATTGATGAAATGGGATGTTCTTACCTTGTTCCTGTTCTTAGTGGGAGTTTCCAAGTTTCTCACCATTAAGTATGAGGTAGCTGTGGGTGTTTTTATACATATTCTTTATCAAGTTGAGGAAGTTTGCCTCTAATTCTAGTTTATTGAGAGTTTTTATCATGAATGGGTGTTGTATTTTATCAAATGCTTTTTCTACAGCTATTGATATGATCTTGAGATTTTTATTTTTTTAGCCTATTGATATGATGAATTACATTACTTGATTTTCAAATGTTAAACCTGCCTGGCATAAATCCCACTTGGTCGTGATGTATGTAATTGTTTTTAACAGTGGTAGATTCAGTTTGCTAATGTTTTATTGAGGATTTTGGCATCTATATTCATGAGAGATGTTAGTCTGTAGTTTTCTTGTAATGTCTTTGTCTAGCTTTGGTATTAGGGTAATTGAATGAATTAGGAAGTATTCTTTCTGCTTCTCTTTTCTGAAAGGAACTGTAGAGAATTGGTATAATTTCCTCCTTAAATATTTGGTAGAATTCATCAGTGAACTCCTGGGCATGGTGCTTTCTGTTTTAGAAGGTTATTAATTACTGGTTCAATTGTTTTGTTTTGTTAATCTTCACCTGAGAATATTTTTCCATTGATTTCTAGAGAGAGTGGAAGGGGCAGTGGGAGAGAGAAACATCAATGTAAGAGACACATCAATTGGTTGCCTCTTGCACAGGTCCAGGGGTCGAACCTGCAAACCAGGTATGTGCCCTTGACCAGGAATCAAACCCGTGACCCTTTGGTTTGCAGGCCAGTGCTGTAACCACTTAGCAACACTGGCCAGGGCTGGTTCAGCTTTATTTATTTTTTTAAAAAAATATATTTTTATTGATTTCAGAGAGGAAGGGAGAGGGAGAGAGAGATAGAAACATCAGTGATTGAGAGAGAATCATCGATCGGCTGCCTCCTGCATTCCTCCCACTAGGGATGGAGCCCGCAACCTGGGTATGTGCCCTTGACTGGAATCGAACCCAGGACCCTTCAGTCTGCAGGCTGACGCTCTATCCACTGAGCCAAGCTGGCCAGGCCTGGTTCAACTTTTTAAAAAAAATTTTAAATTCATTTCAGAGAGGAAGGGAGAGGAAGAAAGCGATAGAAACATCAATGATGAGAGAGAATCATTGATCAGCTGCCTCCTGCACACCCCCCACTGGGGATCAAGCCCACAACTCAGGCATGTGCCCTGACCGGGAATCAAACCGTGATCTCCTGGTTCATGCGTTGATGCTCAACCACTGAACCACACCAGCTGGGATGATTCAACTTTTTAAAATAAAAATAGGCCTGTTTAAGTTGTCTGTTTCTTCCTGTATGAGTTTTGGTAGATTGTGTCTTTCAAATAATTAGTTAATTTCGTGTGTGTTATCAACTTTGTGAGCATAGAGATGTTCATAGTAATTCATTATCCTTTTAATGTTTGTAGGATTTGTAGTGATGTCCCCTATTTCATTTTTGTGATTAGTAATTTGTTTTCTCTTTTTTCTTAGCATGGCTAGAGGCTTAACAATTTTATTGATCTTTGTTTCCTCTGTAATTTTTACAAAGGTCACTTACTGGGTTTTCTAAAGGGTGTGTGCATGCTTGTATCATGACCCAGGAGTGCAAAGAGGATGCTGCCATTTCCTTGTCCTTCCATCCCACCCTAGGTACCAATGTTAGTGTGTCTGGGGGTCCTTCCACCTCTCTCCTGGCTCTATTTAGACACATAGAAACAGTCTACAGGGTTTTTTCCTGTTGTCTTTTATACAAAAGAAATTTTACAGCATCCTTGAGCTTGCATGTTGCTTTTGTAATCCTTCAGGTTTGTGAGTGCAGGTCTAGCCCCTCTTGTTGAGGGCCATGTGACCTGTGATATACACAGATCTTGTTACATGGAGATGGGCTATGATTCTTCCCTCTGGTGTGGACCCCAGAGGTGGGACTAGGGCTCAGAACATGCATAGTCTAAGACCGTGGTCAGCAAACTGCGGCTCTCGAGCCACATGCGGCTCTTTGGCCCCTTGAGTGTGGCCAAAATACCATGTGCGGGCGCGCACGTACAGTGCGATTGAAACTTTGTGGCCCATGTGCAGAAGTCAGTTTTCGGCCTGGGCGAGTCTATTTTGAAGAAGTACTGTTGATATTTGGCTCTGTTGACTAATGAGTTTGCCGACCACTGGTCTAAGAGATAACAGGCAGGTGCAGAGGGAGCTGCAGGCTTTACCAGCTCTGAACTCAGTGCCACCTGTTCCTACCTTGGGGTAGGGGAACTACCCCTTAGGGGACTGAGGGACTTGTGGCTTCCAGCAAGGTAGGGACTTTTGCCCTTGGGTTGGAGTCCAGGTCACCATTTGTTCCTATGTTAATTGTCTTTGTTTTGGCTCTGTTTGCTGTTGGCACCTCTCACAAGTGCATCAGAAAAACACAAGTGTTTGAGCTGTGCAGTTTAGGGAAAATCTTGCCCTTTCTGACACCAGGTGTCTCTTGCACCTCAGGATTTCTAGTGCTCCTCTAGGACAGCAGGGGAAGAGCTTCGCAGAACCTGGGGCAGGTCTGAGGGAGCCCACCCATTTTCCTTGGAAGTAGTGTATCAATAACTGTGTGACAAGCACCCGATAAAGTTGGGGTGGGGGTTTGGTGTGGCCCTCAGCATTGTGACAGGCTGTGGCAGGCCACATTATTTTTCAATTTTGGGTCACTAGAGCCAGCAGCCACTGAGGCCTGGCAGTACAGGAGGCCATAGTGGAGACTTTGAAGAGACCCTGGCTGACCTGGGGGGCTTGCACAAGACCCATGCTACTCCTGCCACAACTGACAGTGTGCCCCTCCACTCTTCTTTGCAGCTTTCTGTACGAACCCAGCAGCCAGGGTTACAAATACTACCGCCAGAAACTGGAGGAGTTCCGAAAAGCAAGGGCAGGCCCGACAGGCACCCAAATGGTGCCAGAGCTCTGCCCTCAGCGCAGACCGCCTCCTGAGATCCTGTCCGGATCTGTACCCCTCACTGCTGCTTGCCCTACTTCATCTGCCCCCTCACCTGCTGTCAACCCAGCTCCAGCTGCCCATGGAAAGCCAGCCACTACAGCCACTGTGAAGAGGAAGCGAAAGAGCCGATGGGGGCCTGAGGAGGAAAAGGTGGAAATCCCACCCACCGAGCTGGTGCAGAGAGACGTGGATGCCACCCCCTCACCCCTGTCAGGTGGGCTTTTTCAAGAAGTCTGGCATCGCGTTGTCAGGGTTTATCTGTGTTGTATGTAGCAGGTGTCAGGACTTCCTTCCCTTCTGTGGCTGAATAGTATTTCAGTGTGTGGATGGACTACACTTTTGTTCATCCTTTATCTGCCAATAGACACGGGTGGTTTCCACCTTTTGGCAGTTGTGACTAGTACTGCTGTGAACACACATATACAAGTACTATTTGGATCCCTTATTTCAGTTCTCCTGTGTGTATACCTAGGAGTGGAATTGCTGGGTCATATGGTGATTCTACATTTAACTTTTATTTTTTTAATATATTTTATTGATTTTTTACAGAGAGGAAGGGAGATGGATAGAGAGTTAGAAACATCGATGAGAGAGAAACATCGATCAGCTGCCTCCTGCACACCTCCCACTGGGGATGTGCCCGCAACCAAAGTACATGCCCTTGACCGGAATTAAACCTGGGACCCTTCAGTCCGCAGGCCGACACTCTATCCACTGAGACAAACCGGTTATGGCGTATATTTAACTTTTTAAGGAACCACCAAACTGTTCTCTACGGCAGGTGCATCATTTTACATCCCTCCAGCAATGCACAAGAGTTCCGATTTCTCCACATCCTCGCCTTATAGTCATTCCAGTATAAACTGGGATCACATTGTAGTTTTTGCATTTTTCTAGTGACTAATAGCGTTGAACATCTTTCCATGTGCTCATTGGCCATTTGTATAGCTTATTTGGAGAAATGTCTATTTTAGTTCTTTTCCCATTTTTTAATTGGGTTGTTTGTGGTTTTGTCGTTGAATTGTAGGAGTTCTTTGTGTATTCTGGATATTAACTCCTGTTATATATATTATTTGCAAATATTTTCTCTCATTCTTTGGATTGTCTTTTTACCCTCTTAATAGTGTCTTTTGATTCACAAAAGTTTTAAATGTTAATGAAGTTCAATTTAATTTTTTGTTTGTGGCCTATGATTTTGGTGTCATATTTAAGAAACCATAGCCAAATCCAAGGTCATGAAGATTTGACCCTGTATTTTCTTCTAAGAGTTTTATAGTTTTAGGTCTTTTTTTTTTCCCCATGAGTGAAAACTTTATTGCTCCAACACTTTACATGAATGTCACCAACACCTCGTTGGGGCAAATATATAACAAGCACAATCATCTCAACTTCTCAACTAACGCACTGTACATACGCTTCCCAGGCCTCACTCCCAGCACGACTGGTGCATTTCAGTGGCAGCAGCTGTACTTGCTTGAGCCTCCTTTGCAGATGCAGCCTTGGGCACACTTGGCACAGCCCGGGGAGCAGCAGGAGCAGCAGCTTTTTCGACATGTTTTACAGTTGCAAGATGTGCATTTACAGTTGTCTCCACAGATGCATATTCCTTAAGACAAGCAGGAGCATTCCCTGGGGTCCATGGTCCAGGTACTGTCTGTGCTGGAGAAGGGAGGTATATAGTTTTAGGTCTTAAATTTAGGTATTTGTTATTCCTTACCCGATGATAGTTTTTTCATGGATCTTTAGAGAAAGTGGAAAGGAGGTAGGGGGGGGAGAGAGAAACATCTATTGGTTGCCTCCTATATGCGCCCCAACTGGGGCTGGGGATCAAACCTGCAACCCAGGTACATGCCCTTGACTGTGAATCGAATCCAAGACCCTTGGGTGCACAAACGGATGCTCTAACCACTGAACCACCGGCCAGGGCTTAAACGTAGGTATTTGATCCATTGATCCATTTTAAATTAATTTTTTAAATACATTTTTTATTGATTTAAGAGAGGAAAGGAGAGGGAGACAGAGATAGAAACATCAATGATGAGAGAGAATCATTGATTGGCTGCCTCCTGCATGCCCCCTACTGGGGATCAAGCCCACAACCCAGGTATATTACCTGACCAGGAATTGAACTGTGACTTCCTGGTTCATAGATTGGCGCTCAACCACTGAGCCATGCCAGGCAGGCTTAAATTAATTTTTATATCTGATATAGGGTAAGGGTCCAACTTTATCCTTTTCCATGTGGATATCTAGTTGTCCTAACACCATTTGTTAAAGAGACTGTTCTTCCCCCATTAAATGGTCTTGACACCCTTGTCAAAAATCAGTTGACCATGGATGTAAAGGTTTTTTCTGGGCCCTATTCTATTACACTGGTTTGTATGTCTGTCTTTACACCAGTACCTCACTGTTTTGATCACTGTACCTTTGTGGTAAGTTTTGAAATCAGGAGTGTTAGTTTTCCAATTTTGTTCTTCTTTTTCAAGCTTTGGCTATTCCCTCGAGTCTCTTGAATTTTCATATGGGTTTTCAGATAGGCTTTTCCATATCTGAAAAAAAAAATGTTGGGATTTTGATAGGGATTGCATTTGAATCTGTAGGTCACTTTGGGTAGCACTGACATGTTAACAATACATAGGATGTCTCTCATTTACTTAGGTCTTCATTCATTCATTCTAACATGTAGTTTTTGTTTTATAGTTCTTGCATCTCCTTGTTTAAATGTGTTCCTAAGTGGTTTATTCTTTTTGATGCTATTATAAGTGGATTATGTGTTCTTAGTGTACAGAAATACAGCTGATTTTTGTGTATTGATTATGTATCTTTTAACTTTGCTGAATTCATTTTTCAGCTCTAATAATCCTCTTGTAGATTCATTAGGGATATAAGATTATGTCATCTGCAGATAGTGACCATTTTACCTCTTCCTTTCTAATTTCAATGCCTCATCTTTCTTCTTCTTTCCTAATTGCTTTGGCTAGGACCTGCAGTGCTATGTTGAATGCAAGTGGCAAAAGTGGGAATACTTGCACTGCTCCTTATCTTAAGGGAAAAGCTTTCAGTCTTTCACCATTGAGTCTATATATTGTAATCTTATTTGACTTTAAGTATATTTTGTCTGAGACTAGTATATCCTTCCCAGCTCTCTCAGTACTATTTACATGGAATTTTTGTTTCCCATCCTTTTACTTTCAACCTGTTTGTATCTTTTTATCTAAAGTGAGTTTCTTGTAGATGACATATAGATAGATTCTATTGTCTCCCTTAAACTTTAAAGTACTTAACATTCATTCTTGTCATAGAAAGCCTTCTGCATAGGGCTCTCATATAGTTCATAGCCCCCACAGACCTTCTTCAAGGAGGGATTGAGGTGCAGTCCTGGGGTCACAGAGCATCTGCATTTGGTTCTTGCTGGCAAAGCCCCAGCCATGGGGAGCTGGAGCACCCAGCTCTCTTCACTTTCCCAGAGGATCCTCTCCACTCATCTGCCTGGCTTCTCCCCCAGAAACCAACACCCAGACGGGCCATCACAGCATCTTCACGTGAATCAATGCTGCCGGAGCTCCAGCCAAGCTCCGAAGCTGATGCCAAATTAAATGCTGTGAGGACAACTGGCTGCCTCTTCAGAAGGAGCTAAACAGAGCCACACAGCTGAGTCTTACACCAGACTCCAAACCTGTGTATGTCTATACTAGGTGTCTGTCCTCCACAGGATAGACTTCCATGAGCCAGTGTTTGTGCGTGTGCACACACTCTTGTCTCTGCTCTAGTGTCTCTGGCTCTGCAAAGTCCCCACCATGTCACCCATTAGCCATATGACCTCATTTGAGGCCCCTGACCTCTGAGTTCTGGTGTTGGTGTTTACAACATGGGGATGTAGGGCCTACCTGGAGAGGGCATGTGGGAATGAAATTGGGTGCACATGACAGTGCAAGGTGTGACTCCTGTGGTCCTCATGTGACACGAGAGACTAACAACTGATCTGAGGGCTCTGCTGTGCGTGCTCCAAGTGCCTCAGGTGTTGTCAATGAGTGGATTCTGCATCACACACACAAGAGCAGGGCCAGGCCCATGTGTCCATCACTGACTGACCTGTGTCTTGTTTCCAGTTCAGGACCTCAAGGGGCTAGGCTACGAGAAGGGGAAGCCCGTGGGTCTGGTGGGCGTCACGGAACTGTCAGACGCCCAAAAGAAGCAGCTGAAGGAGCAACAGGAGGTAAGGCCAGAGGGTGGAGCAGGCTCCACAGCTGCTGGTGGCAGATTGTCCCCCCCTCACCTATGGTGCAGTGATCACACAGTCAGCAGAGAGGCTCCTGGGCAGGCTGGTTCCCCACCAATACCATGCCAACCCCAGCATATAGCTGGGCCCAGAGCTCAGGCCTCCTCATGCTGGCCTGTCATCCTGCACAGCAGGTGCTCAATAACTATTCCACATAGTGCCTGTGGGCTGTTCCCACTCAGTAGTCTTAAATTTTCCATCCAGTTCCCTCCAGTATCCAGTCCAGGACAGGCCTGGCTAGCACTGGGCGCCCTGAGTGGTGTGAGGGCCACTCAGCTGGTAGTGGGCAGTGTTGGGGTGAGAGTCAGCTTGGCCTCTTTGCTGCTTCCCTGGGGAACTAGAGGCACTGGCCTATCAGTTCTTGGGGACGCCTCACCCTGGCCACCTCCTCTAGGCCAGGGCTCTGTCACATCACCCTTAACATTCCTAGGGATAAGGAGCCCAAGTTGCCCTCATTTAGTCCATGATGATGATGGCTGGTTCTGAGCAAGACAGAGAGGAGCCTCTCTCTCATCACAGGGACATGGGGAGATTCGGTTATGTGGTGCAGGCCCTGTCATAGTGTGTGCTCCCCACAGATGCAGCAGATGTACGACATGATCATGCAGCACAAGCGAGCGATGCAGGACATGCAACTGTTGTGGGAGAAGGCACTGCAGCAGCACCAGCATGGCTACGACAGTGACGAGGAGGTAGATAGCGAGCTGGGCACCTGGGAGCACCAGCTGCGGCGCATGGAGATGGACAAGACTCGGGGTACGCTGAGGTTTCCAGCGGGGGGTGGCTGGAAGCCCCACTCACCTGTTGGCCTATAAGACCTTGCGCACAAGACTTGGCTTTTCTGTGCCTCAGTCTTCTCAGTAGTAAAAGGAGTGGTGCAGGGCTGTCCTGAGGGAGCAGGGTTCAGGTCAGGGTCTTCCCCCAGCTGCCTCCCTCTCTCACAGCCGCGTACCTCTTCCTTCTTTTACCTTTTCTATCTCTCCGGACAGAGTGGGCTGAGCAGCTGACGAAGATGGGCCGGGGAAAGCACTTCATTGGAGATTTTCTGCCACCAGATGAGCTGGAGAAGTTCATGGAGACCTTCAAAGCCCTAAAGGTGAATGGGGAGTCCCCAGCCATCAGCCCTGCTGTGGGCCTGTCCAGCAGGCAGCCTCTTCACACACAGGAGGAACTAGGCCCTCTTCCACAGGAGGCATCTGTTCCTGGCAGACGTCCATTTGGGGAATTCACAAATAGCTCAGCTGCCACTTTAGAAACATTTCCTGGGGCTTTGGGAAATCCTGCTTCCAGTGAAGCCAGTTAATGCAATGGGAGGCACAGGCCCCCATGGACTGGGCTCCTCAGAATGAAAGCTCAGCATCCTCCTCTGCCCATGGAGAGACAGCTGACTGGCACAAGCCTCTCCACCTAGTTGACCATGGCTGCTTTTTCACACTTTGTGTGACAAATCGCCCTCAGAAGCTGAGCTTTTCTTTGTAGGTGAATCATTAATCTTGCCCATGGTAGAGGAGGCCTGTGTGACTGCCACCTTGCCTTCTTTGACTTGGTTGCCAGAGAGCACTAAGTGTGACCATGGGAACCCTGAGGAGGAGGAACTTAGTCTGAAGTGGGGGACAGATGGGCTGATGGTCCCAGCTAGTGGCCAGTGAGGCCAGAGGGGGCGTGTTTGGGCCCTAGGGGATGACAGCTGCTTGGTCATGCAGGAAGGCCGTGAGCCTGACTACTCGGAGTACAAGGAATTCAAGCTGACGGTGGAGAATATTGGCTACCAGATGCTGATGAAGATGGGCTGGAAGGAGGGTGACGGTCTAGGCTCAGAGGGCCAGGGCATCAAGAACCCAGTTAACAAGTGAGTGTGACCCTTGATACAGGGTGGGGGTGAGGGAGTATCCCAAACTAGTCCCAGGGTCTGGGTCTAGTCCTGCCTCTGGGCCAGAGTCAGGCCTAGCTGTGAACTGTGGTGGCTGGCCCAGCTCAGGCTCTTCCCTCCTATGTGTCCCACTTAAGCTGTTTTCTAGCCCAGCACAGCTTGCATGGCCCCCACAGCCCCACTTTGAGCTGCTGCTGCTGCTCCTAGGCAGGCTGGTGGGCTAAGCCTTCCTGTCCCAGCTCAGGCTGGGCATCTGCTCTCCTGCTGACACCAGCCTGCTTTTCTGCTCACATTCTGCACCCTCCCTCATCCCCCACAGGGGCACAACTACAGTGGATGGCGCTGGCTTTGGCATTGACCGGCCAGCAGAGCTTTCTAAGGAGGATGACGAGTACGAGGCCTTCCGCAAGAGGATGATGCTGGCTTACCGCTTCCGGCCCAACCCTCTGGTGCGTGCATTCCCATCCCCCACATTCCTCTGGTGTGGCTACTGGTTCCTCACTGTCCACAGTAGTGGGGTGGTAGTGCTGGTAACAGAAGTGTCCCTCCTCCCTTAGTTCAGGTCTCACCAACAACCCCCACTACCACTCCACCTGCATTTGAGCCCCTTCTTCCTCTCCAAAGCCAGCCATCTCAAGGAGTGAGCTCAGCTGCCCCTAAAAGGTTCTGGGTGGGAGGAGCTGCCATCTGTCTTTAGCATTAACGCACTCCCTTTTTATCTTATTGCCTCCCACAGAACAACCCCAGGCGGCCTTACTACTGAGTATTCTGGATAAACACAGAAACATACTTTCCAGACAACCAACCAAGCATTCTTGGACTGTAGAATGTTTTGGACTGCATTTCTGCCCGCCCTTTCCGTTGTCTCAAGTGTCATGCTATGTATTAAAGTCCCAATGCTTGCCCACTGTGGGAGCCTGGTCATGCCATCACCAGAGACCCCTCCTGTTCTTCAGCAGCTGAGCTGGGCTGGGCAGGTGAGAATGAGATGCTGTGTGAAGGCTCCCCAGCACCTGAGGAATCCAAAAGCACCACCTGGACCTTCGCTTGTTGGGTCTCCATCCCTCATCAGCCTGGGTTGGAGTAGAGAGGAGGGCCACACTTGGGCAGGCCCTCCCAGCCTAGCACTGTGCTGTGGAAAGGAATTGGGGAGGGATCTCCAGACAGGGCCTAGCCTTCCCCAGGGCACACCTATGCTACCCACCTCCCTGTCAAATGATATTCCCTGCCAGTGATGGCTGCAGTCCATGCTGCCACAGCTGCACTGGGTCCCACCTGTGTGGTGTACACGTGTCCCTGGGGCTCATGCCTCTGTGGGACAGCTGTGTGCTAAAATGCCTCACACCTCCTAGAGCAGGGGTGGGGAACCTTTTTTCTGCCAAGGGCCATTTGGGTATTTATAACATCATTCAAAATTACCAACTTAGCCCAGCTGGTGTTGCTCAGTGGTTGAGCATCAACCTATAAACCAGGAGGTCAGGGTTCGATTCCCGGTCAGGGTCCGTGCCTGGGTTGTAGGCCATCCCCAGTAGGGGATGTGCAGGAGGCAGCTGATCAATGTTTCTCTCTTATCATTGATATTTCTATCTCTCTCTCCCTCTCCCTCTCCCTCTCTCTGAAATCAATAAAAACATATTTTTTAAAAAAATTAACTTAAAAATTAGCCTGCTGTATTTGGTCAGACATTTAATTAACTCACCCTTAATGCCTTGGCAGGGCCAAACCAAATGATTTTGTGGGCCTTATAAGACCCTTGGGCCAGACGTTCCCCACCTCTGCCCTAGAGGATGTGAGGCCTGTGGGTGGCCTGGCCAATGTGTGCTGAGAGCTACCATGTCTCTAGATCCAGTACCTCACATCTGTGCAGAAACACCTGGGGATCTTCAGCTGCAGCCATGCTTGAAGTATCAGCCTGGGAATTTGAGGGGACCACAACTCACCCACCTGTACCACACATGCACCCAGTGGGTCATGCTCAATCCCTGTGGGCTCATGGGCTCTATTCAAGCTAGAATCAGGCTCCTGGGCCAGCCTGCATTCAGCAAACACTGAGCACCAACTGAATCAGAATGGGGGCTGTGACAGTGAACTAACAATACACTGATCGATGCTGCCAGGAGAAACAGCTGGGCTGGGCAGGTGGCCTGGGCCAGGTCTCAGTGGGGGTTTCGGGGGCTGGGAGGGTCTCAACAGCAGAGTAGATTGGGTGACGTATACCACCGTCCCCCTTCCATGGGTGCTGTGCCCAGGCAGGGCAAAGAGGTGACCCTTGCCAAAGTCCTAAGCACAGATGAGTAGCTATGGGAAGCCAGCGGTCCCCAGGCACCCCCCCCTCCCAGGCAGGTCAAGGTCACCCCTCCATTAAATTCTCAGTGACTGGGAAGCTGTCCAGACTCGGCCCATGGACTTTACCCCCATGCATGGGGAGAGTTAGAAGATGAGGTCTCTCAATTGCTGTGTGTGTGTACAGGTACCTCCCAGACCCAGGGTGCAAGGCCAGGCCCCTAGACAGAGCTGGACTAGACACCCCTGGCCCTGCAGTTGGCAGGGAGGGCTGCCTGGAGGGGGAGACAGTGGGAAGTTCTTTAAGGGGTGAGGAAGTACAAGAGGGTCTATCTTGTATACAGGAAAGAGGCCTGTGGGCTTTGGGCACTGCCAGAGTTGGGAAGGTCAAGAAACCAGGCTGGAGTTTCAAGTCAGCCCAGAGGAACCTGAACTTCACCCCATGGTCAAGGGGCCTCTGGGGAAGGCCAGAAGATCATGTTACCCAGGCTTAGAGATAGGACCCAGCTGGCACAAGGCCAAGGGGCTGCATGGAAAAGGGATGAGGGTTTCAATCCCCACCCCCCCAACCCAGGAAGGAATTAGGTGGGCACTACACACTCTCCAGCAGCCATAGTACTACATGGGTGAGAGCCTGTTTGAAGGTAGTAGCAGAGACCTAATTCCCACCTTGCAGCCCCCTCCGAGGTCCATCCCCCCTTTATACCTCCCCCGAATCCAGCACAGCCTCCAGGCTGCTCAGAACCTTCCCAGCCCCAGGCTCCTTACTGCTGCTCAGCCCCAGGCCTGAGCTATTCTCCTTGCCAGGAACTTCTCACCTAACTGGCTCCATCCCCACTTAATCTTGGGCCACCTCCCTCTGACCCCGCCCACGTGAGTAGCCCCGCCCATCCCGCCCTCAGCTACCCACAGGGTGTCCTGGCTTTAAGGAAGGATCTCAGAGCACGGAATCACGGAGGCCTTCAAGGGACCCCAACCCAAGGCTGTAGCCGCCTGCCCTGAGATGATCCCCACCCAGACTGTCAAGTTTCACACTTGGACACGTGTTTAAAATGTGTCTGTGGCCCAGCTGGCATGGCTCAGTGGTTGAGCATGGACCTATGAACCAGGAGGTCATGGTTCGATTCCTGGTCAGGGCACATGCCCAGGTTGCGGGCTCCATCCCCAGAGTGGGGTGTGCAGGAGGCAGGGGATCCATGATTCTCATCATTGATGTTTCTATCTCTCTCCCTCTCCCTTTCTCCCTTTCTCTCTGAAATCAATAAAAATATTTTTTTAAAGAAATAATAAAAAAGTGTCCTAGCCGGTCTGGCTCAGTGGATAGAGTGTCAGCCTGCAGACTGAAGGATCCTGGGTTTGATTCCGGTTAAGGGCACATGCCGGGTTGCCAGCTCCTTTCTCGGTGGGGGGCATTCAGGAGGCAGCCAATTATTCTCATCATTGAAGTTTCTATCTCTCTCCCTCTCCCTTCCTCTCTGAAATTTAAAAAAACGTCGATCTGTGGACTGAAGGGTCCGAGGTTCGATTCCGGTCAAGGGGACATGCCAGGGTTGCTAGCTCAATCCCCAGTAGGGGGTGTGCAGCAGGAGGCAGCCAACCAATGATTCTCTCTCATCATTGATGTTTCTCTCTCTCCCTCTCCTTTCCTCTCTGAAATCAATAAAAATATATTTTAAAAAAATAAGCCCTAACTGGTTTGGCTCAGTGGATAGAGCATTAGCCTGCGGACTGAAGGGTCCCCATGTTTCTCTCTCATCGATGTTTCTAACTATCTCCCTTCCTCTCTGTAAAAAAGCAATAAAATATATTTTTAAAATAAAATAATAATAATAATAATAATAATGTGTCTGTGGCTCCCGAGTGAAAATTCAAATCCAAGGACACTGAAGGGAACTGCACCCAAGTAGTGAGATTGGTTTCTCCTTGGGGCGCGCACGGAATGTGGGATGAAGAAAGCAGAAAAGCAGAACAGAGCAGGAAAACGAATTTCCTCAGAATAAAGTTGCCAGTCCCGGATCTCCAGGGCGCGAGCGTCGTGATCTGGCCTTTAATAGAGAGGGAAACTGCGCTGGGCGACGGGACGGCCCCGGAGGATCGCTCTGAGTCCCGTGACGGTATCGAAGGGGCAGGGCCGCTGCAAGGGGGTGGGGCCTCGGAGGCT